AGTTAATTGTACTTTTTCTGTCTTAAAAGATGATTGAATCTATCCACCAAAATGTCCGCGGGCTGGAATTATGTGTAGTAATTTTCTTTGTAGAAGTAACAAACCCGCAGAAGCCTCACATACAACAACCCTCCAATTATACCCAGAAGCAACCCACTCCTGGATTTGGATCAAGTGGTTCAAATCTAGCGATGTGTCATTCCAAATCCAAATAATGATTTCCTTCTAGAAATTGTTCGTTAACCACAGTGGTGCAGAACTGCAGAAACCTCGGCAGTATTCAGGAAGCAGCTTCCGTGTTAAAACTGTGAAACTCTCAAGTAGCCCACAGGGTTGTGATGCACCTCTTCATCTCTCTGCCTGAAAAGTCACGACGGGAAATAACGCACAGCGTTGCGTCAACCTGCCGGAGGGAAAGCACGAGGTTTTACGCAGAGAAAAGCGCCTTCCTCCTAACACGCTGACCGGTGTGTTGGCATTCTGTAGCCTTTCGAAGTGGGAGGTTTGACGAGCCTGCTGAATTTCCAGTTTGTTCCTGCGATATCACCCATTGACCCCTTCCCCACTGTTTTTGAATTAGTTTCTCGGAAATGCTAATACTAATTTAAAATCCATCAGCATTTAAAAAAACCCCACAAAACACCATCCAGGCTACAGGGCCGCTGTAAACTCACACAGTCTAGGCCGTGCGCTCCGGCAGCTTTCACAGCCTTTAGAAAGGAGAAGCTCCTTTTCAAGCAGAAGCCAATGGTAAGCAGCACACAGAGCCCAGCTGGTGCTCCTTAACCCGAGCGTTGAGCTAGAGGTGGGTCTGCATTGTTGGGAGCAGCGATTTGCGTCGGGTTCATCGGGTGTCTGTTCATCGGCTGGAGGGAGCATGGAAACAGGTGGGAAAAGGAGGAGGAGGAGTGGTGCAAGTTGAATGAATGAGAAATGCAGAAGCTGAACGCCTGTTTATTTATTTAGTTTGCATTTTATTTGTTGAAATGGACCCGCGTGTCTTTTGTGTTCCTGTGAATACGTGCCCATCTGCTCCAGCGTGCTTGGAGTTACTCCTGGTGCCCGTTCAGCTGGTGCCGTGTTCGGCGCAACTGGAATTCTCCATCAGCTGCCCCATCCTCCTCCAAAGACAAATGAAGGGCGAGCTAAATTTCTAAAGTGGCTAGGCATGCAACTGTCAGTCAGATCTTGAACTTGATGAAGCTTTCATGCTCTTCGCTGTAAAAGCAAGTTTAATTTTAGTGCTTTTTAAATTTTATTGGTACTTGGGAATTGTGGTGTACCTTCCAATTCTGGCTGCAGCTGGTTTGATTGAGCTTAGCTTTAAAAAGTAACTGTCTAAGGAGTCTCTTGGAGCGATTCTTCTGTAAAGTGTTTGCTGCAGCAGAGCAGGGCTTAAAAAGATAAGTTCCTAGGAAAATGAGAAAGAAAGAAAAAGCTATAGATGAGTTGAAAGCTTTCATAGACGTTATATAAGCGTATTTATAGAAATACTTGAACTCTTGTTGTTATTGCTATGAAACATTTATAAAGGAAACTTACAGTGATGTTCAAAGTCAACTAGTTAGTGCTCTGGTTAAAACTCAAGCATTTTTTTAATGTATTCCTGAACAGTACTAAAAGGTAAATCCAGCTTTCAGTAGACAATTTGTGAAATTCTGGAGCCCTCTCAGAAAATTGTAAGTTCAGTCAACAGCAAGTCCTTGTTAGAACAGCTGTAAGACAAGATGCATCCAATTTGTGGTTTTGTGACTGACAGCCATGTGGATGAGTAACTGTGGGACTAATTCTATTCAATTATATATATATATTCCTTGTGCTCCATTTAATGAGCTTAGCTAATGGCAGAAGCTAGGGAGTACATGGTATCTTGCAAGTGTTGGGTTGGCCCCTATTTCATCTTCCTGGGTTCAGCAGAGTGTCTTCAGCCCTGGAAGTGCTACACCCTGTGTGTATTATTTAGGTGTATTAAAAATACTAATGTTAAACAAGGAGCATGCGCTTGGAATCTGTTGGAGTTCCACCGTTGGATTTCTGTGGGAAGCAGGGTCATATGTCAGCTGGGATCCGTGATCGTTTCTGCTGAAAACTGAAAGATATCTTTGGTTTCAGAGTGGGAATCTGCAATTAGAATTGGCGTGCTGGACTGTGGGGAAGAAGAGAACTATGAGACGTGCAAAGAATATGGTATTCACTATTACCCGACTCTCAGGGTAAGTGCCAGAGTGCGTTGCCTTGGGTAAACAATGCTCGCTCTCGAGTGGCTAAAATTAAAATTGCACAATGTTGTATGTACTCGGTTGTTCTTTAGCAGGATTTTTTTTCTTTTCTTTTAGTGAGAAAGCTGCAAGGCTGATAAAAAAATTAATTTACGTTCTTGCTGCATGCAACAGTTACTTACTCAGTTCTACATCTGAAAAATTCTTACTGAGAGAACATACCATTTTAGAAAGTGCTATGTTGTTAGCTTTATACAGCACCGAATTGTGATCTATCCCTTAAATAATAACAGTCTGCGTAAATATTTTTCCAATTCAAATATCCATGATTATTAAAGTGGTTTTAGTTTTGGTATGTGAAAGTGAAGGTAGCACATTGAAATTGCACCATGAAATCAGCTGATGTCATATATAATCAATATACAATGTTGTGGCATTTTTCCTCTCAAAATTGGCCTTATTGTATAGCAGCTGATTTCATCACCAGAGCTCCAGTTAAAAATTTTCTCGAGTGATCCTTCACTATTTTTCTGATTAATTTCATAATTTGCTTAAACTGCCTTTTAAAAGGGATCCTGTGGTTGCCAAAATATCTGCCATTGTTCATCTTGAGATCTAAGTGCAATTTTTACCTTCTCTGCCTCTGTCAATCCATATGATCACATTATGAAGCACAAGCAGGATGTGATGGGGAGGATTGAACAAACTGTGTGTGTTATGACCAGAGAGGAAACAGGAGACGTTTCACTGTGCAATTTGTGATGTTCTACCTTGATAGAAAGAACAGTATTCTTTTTTTTTTTTTTTAAGTTTTGGGTGCAAATTGGAATGCACTCTTTATTAGAGACTGGATCTTTCCTAGTTTATTTTTTATAGCAGAAGGCAGTCCCGCTGCATTAGGTATCCTGTTTAACCACTGGAGGGAGTTGAGAAAATGTGAACAGTGTTCTAAGTCTGTACACAGCTGGTAGTGCTGATTTGGTAATCAGCTAATTCACATTTGGGTTAGTGTTTGCTATAATGGATCAATATACAATATTGTGGCATTTTTCCTCTAAAAATGAGCGTTTATTGAATATCAGAGTTTTTTGACTGCTACCTATGAGCTAACTTTGTGTACTTGAGAAACAGGCCTTTGGAACTCACAGACTAAGAGGGAAAACTGTCTTCTGAACAGAGAGATAAATATATTTTGTAATTCGAGCTGTAAAAGTACAAACTGTTTTTATTTCTAAACCAAACTGTCTTACACAGTGAGTTATTTTCAAAGCAATAATATTTTTCTTTCTCCCACATAGTACTTCAAAGCATTTACAAATCAGTTTACTACCGGAGAAAATTACAAAGGTAAGAATATCCTACTGTAAGAAATCCCCAAAGCAGTTATCCCATCAGCCAGGAATGCGTCACACATTACATAAAATTTCCTGTTGCCTTTCAGTTAGTTTAGACAGACAGAGATGGGATATACCTGTAAGAGCTCTTGAAGATGTGATACTACAAGTACTGTATGAAAATGGCACGGCAGGCCGAATTTTAGAGAGGCAAAACTTAGGGCTAACACTCCTCGTTGGTTTGAAACGTAGTTCTTAATTTTTACAAATGGGTAGATCACTTTGTAAAATTCCTTTTTTCCCCTCGGCAGACCTCATCAGCCTAACATCCAATTTACTCCATCCCGACTCTGGTGCTTTTTTTGATCTCATCAGCCACTTTCTAGGCATCCTGAACCTCACTGGGAGAACCCCCCGTTCAGCTGTTGACTAACTGAAAACAGGCTTATCCTGTGTGTCTGACAGGATCACAGCTTGAGGTGGTTTGTCTGGGGACAAAAGTAATGTTGTCTTTTTCAATGGATTAACATTTAAAAGGCCAGAGGTCAGAAGAGAGACCACCTGCACCATTAACCCTTCATGTAGAAGTAGACTGCAGTTGTACCTGTTACTTTTTTGGCATTTGTGAGAGTTTCTGCTTTTTAATGTGGTTCTTTTAAAGCAAATAAAATATTCTCACACTTAAATATGATGTTATCTCAACATTAAAATGATATCGTACAACTAAATCCTTAGTCCCTGTTCCTTAGCCAAATAGTATTCTGCTTTTTAAGCCTAAAATTAAAACAAAAACCTGCCAGAGAAAAGTATGAGAATCTATGAAAACCTGCATGTGAGTAATCTTCCCCCTGTTTTCTGAAGCGTTGTGTATTTTTGTGTAACTTCTACTCAGCAGGAGCAGATCGAGAGCTGCAAACGGTTCGTCAAATGATGATTGACTTTTTACAGAACCATTCCCAAGAGTCGAGACCACCTGCTTGCCCGCCTTTGGATCCAGTTTCGTGAGTTCCTTGTTTAAAATACGGCCGGCGTGTGCTTACTATGTTTTTTAAATAAAATTTAGAAGGTCCTTCTAAAGACAAAGCAAGCTCGCTCTTATTATTGGTTCTGCTACAAGATCGTAAAGGGAAATTCCGTCGATAACAGGGGTTATATTGCATTCTACCTACGCTAAATACCTTTTCTTTTCTGAAAAGGTCTGAAGATATTACTTCTCTCTTTGCCAAGAACCGCCATCATTATACCGCCATTGTGTTCGAAAGTGAGAATTCCTACGTGGGCCGAGAGGTAATCTAGAACTTAGGAATGACGTTGTCAATATGAATGAGTGTTGTCCTTACACAGCTGGATTTCATGTTATTTAGCCAGGCAACAAAATTTCTGGCTAGAGGCCTGAATTAAAGGGTCATAAATGCCATGTCGTGCATATTTGAGACATGACAAAGGCCAGAAATGATGTAGTGCTCTTGTATTTATTCACACAGAGGAACTTACAAATTAATGTGATGTCACATTAACATCTTTGTTCATGTTACATGTTAATTTATCTATTTCACTGTTAGTACCATTCTTTTTTTTCTTTCAAGATTTGGAAGATCACAACAAAAATGTTGTCAAAGTATGTTATTGTTCTGTTACATTCATAATATTTATTTTTCTGGGCAGCTTTTTTGATTTCATCTGTAATAATCTGAATTCTCTGGTTCTCTTTCTTCACATGTGGGTTTTAGGAAATCACGTTCTGAATTAAGACGATAGCATAAAATTATTTTCATAGCTCTGAGGCACTGAGGAAATGGAAGTCTTTGGATTTTTGTTTCCCCCACCCCCTCAATAAAATATTTGATTTGGCGTCATTTCACGACCTAATGAGCCTGCTGTTAGCTTAGACAACTGCTACTTTTCTCTTCCTGCCAAGATCTAGGATAAGTAAAGAAAATAAATTGCATAATTATCTAGGCATAATCTGTGTAGAAACATCCAGTGTCTATGAAATGTTTCTAATTCGAGGCTGAGATGGCCCAGGTGCGTAAATGGAGGAGAGTCTGCTGCCAGAAGGCAGAATCACTTTGAGAAGCAGGCTGCCTCCAGACGTTTGTTTTCTGGAAGCTGCTGTGTTGGTACAGGTGGGCATTACTGGAGAGATGTAATGATTATAAAGTTCTTCAGCTTTTTATCACACTCGCTTCAGTTTTATTAC